CTTTGTAAGTTATACAAACGTCCGATCACTGGGCGGTGCGCCTGAAACTACACCGAACCTCAACTCTAATTGAAAACATTTTTAAATATTTTTTTTAATGTTCAAAACTCAGGTGTGTGTGTGTGTGTGCTTGTGTGTGTGCATGCATATGCGTGTGTGTGCGTGTGTGGGTGTGTGCACACATAGGCATGTGTGTGTGTGCACGCATAGGCATGTGTGTGCTTGTGTATATGCGTGTGCGCATGTGTGTGTGCACACATATGCGTGCGCGTGTGGGTGTGTGCATGCATATGCGTGTGTGGGTGTGGGTGTGGGTGTGCGTGCACACACTGGGGTTAATTGTATGTGTCCCCTGGCTGCGCACGGTGCCAGGTGTCTGGTCAAACAGCAGCGAGGGTTCCGTGAAGGTGTGGATGGGGAGTGACTGCGTCCATTCCTCAGGGTCAGGCCCCTCCGCTTGGAAGTTACTCAACCCCAGACCTTCCTTCGGGAAGAATGCAGAGCAGGGTGGGGCCTTTCAACTGCTCCAATGGTGAGGACATGGCAAGCGGCCTCTGCGCTGCAGCGCCCTCCCTCGGCAGCAGAGGGCGCCGGAGGCTGCCCGCTCCCTCCTGGACCCGGGCCAGCGGGAGCCCAGGAGCCACAGGACGCTCAGACCCGCCAGGCCAGTCCGAGGTCAGCGCAGAGAAAGGGCCTCTGTCCGCCGGCCGTTCCCACACCCGCCTCGCAGGCAGGAAGACAGCAGGCTCTGTCCCCTGGCCCCGTGTGACCAGCCGGATGGGACGTCTGTGCACAGAGGCTCCGGGGAGGCAGGAGGTCACCCTCAGCGTCCCTCCCCGGACAGGAAGCAGGAGCAGGGGACAAACAGCCGGAGGAAGCGCAGGCCGTCCTCCCCCACTTCCCGCCCCCCCACCCCGCGGGGGTGCATGAGCGGCCAGCCCAGCCTCCGCCTCAGGGTGGTGGGTGTTCACTAGTGTGTGGGGAGCTAGGGGGGTCCTGGTGGGAGCAGCTGCCCTGCCCGGCTGCCCTCAGGACAAGGATGCCCTGGCCCCATAAGCCCGCCCACTGCTCCCAAGTCTCTCCCTGCACAGGCGGGGACCCTGCACGCAGGACTCACTGCTCCCCCGTCCTGCAGGCCCTCCACACACACCCCATGAGCCCGCCCACTGCTCCCGAGTCTCTCCCTGCGCAGGTGGGGACCCTGCACGCAGATGCCACCTCCAGTCCCTCACACCTGAGCTCAGAGCACAGAGGCGGCCTCACCATCCGTGAGGGGAACCCCGTGACCAGGGCAACACAGGCCCGTCTTACAGAGTAAACGCTTGTAAAGGCAGCAGCTGCTGGGCCGCGAGTCCTGGGAGAGGAACCTGACCCCTGACCTCACTGTTCCCAGGAAAACGCATGTCCAGCTCATGAGGCGCTCGTGTATCGCCTGGGGGTGGGGGTCGGCTCACCCTGCGCTGAAGGGATGGGGGGTCCCGCTGTGTCCCTGCTTAGGTTTGGGGTGTCCCACTGTGTCCCTGCTCAGGTTTGGGGTGTCCCACTGTGTCCCTGCTCAGGTTTGGGGTGTCCCACTGTGTCCCTGCTCAGGTTTGGGGTGTCCCACTGTGTCCCTGCTCAGGTTTGGGGTGTCCCACTGTGTCCCTGCTCAGGTTTGGGGTGTCCCACTGTGTCCCTGCTCAGGTTTGGGGTGTCCCACTGTGTCCCTGCTCAGGTTTGGGGTGTCCCACTGTGTCCCTGCTCAGGTTTGGGGTGTCCCACTGTGTCCCTGCTCAGGTTTGGGGTGTCCCACTGTGTCCCTGCTCAGGTTTGGGGGGTGCTGCTGTGTCCCTGCTCAGGTTTGGGGGGTCCCGCTGTGTCCTGCTCAGGTTTGGGGGTCCCGCTGGGCCGGGCAGCATTTCCCGAGAGCACTGCAGTCGCGCCCAGTGTGCACAAAGCAGGTAGCACTGCATCTCACCAGCAGGCCCGCAGCTGCTCCGAGAAGGCCTTCAGGGGCCGGGACAGCCCCTGCCCTGCGTCCTGCCCACGGGCACCCGGGTGGCGGCACATGGCTCCGTGTGAACAGAGGGGCTGGTGCTGAGAAGACAGAGGTGGTTGTTGAGTGACTGAGTGACCACAGCAGTCAGACCCCAGCCCTGGCCGCACAGACAGGGGCCGACGGCTGCGCTCCACGGCCCCAGGCCCCCTGACAGCGGAGGGCCCCTCATGAACTGCTTTTCAAGCGTCGCCCCTTCAGTCTCGCAGCCTGAGAGTCACAGGGGAAACCCAGACATTTCACGAGAGTCTGGCCTCCGTTTCCGGTCAGTGAGCGGTCCTGCCCGTGACGGCCCGAGTCACAGTGGGGCCTCCACCTCTGCAGGCGGGGAAACCGAGGCACCGGCCGCCGGGTCCTGCAGGCCTTGCCCACTGACCCCACGAGGGACCGACCTTCCGATTCTGGCTGACGCGGGGCATCGCCTCGGGGGCCTCTGCTTGTGAAGATCTCCTGCCACAGTGGACAGGGGCCCGACCTCAGGGGGGGACAGTGAACCCCAACCTCAGGGGTGCACGGGGCGCCCCTACCTCAGGAGTGGATAGTGAGCCCCGACCTCAGGGGGATGGGGCCCTGGGCCACATCAGGAAGGAGAGCAGTCACTGTCGGTGGTGACGGTGGGTTTCCTCTCCATCTGGCAGGGGCTGCCCGAGGGGGACGAGGTCAGCAGCCCCCCCCCCCAGCACCTAGGAGCCCTCCCTCAGGGGGGGACAGTGAACCCCAACCTCAGGGGTGCACGGGGCGCCCCTACCTCAGGAGTGGATAGTGAGCCCCGACCTCAGGGGGATGGGGCCCTGGGCCACATCAGGAAGGAGAGCAGTCACTGTCGGTGGTGACGGTGGGTTTCCTCTCCATCTGGCAGGGGCTGCCCGAGGGGGACGAGGTCAGCAGCCCCCCCCCCCAGCACCTAGGAGAGAACCTGGCACCCAGCAGGCACTCGGGGGCTT